ATACATAGGGTGTATTAAGCTAAGGGCATTCAAGTCCTCAGACACTACACATAAATGTTGCATCCTGCAGCAACCATTTAGCTGGAAACATAATGAAAAGTATCTGTGTAATCTTGGAAGATCTAATGAACTCCACCAACTTGTGCTAGTCCTCCTGTACTTTGGTAGAATAGGATATTTTTTGCCATTTAGGAGAAATGAGCCGTTAGATTGCGAGGAATCTCCAGGGCTTTCTTTGCTAAATGTAATATGTTGGTAGTAGCTTGGTACTGATTAGTGGGCCCGTGATAAGGGTGTGTAACTGTACAGTAATGTATTGATGTACACCTCCATAAAGATGTGCACACCAGTTCCCCACTGTAAATGAGTGGGGGGGGATGCTTCCAGGCCTACACTCATATAATTGGCCTTTTTATCCCACTACACAGATACTACCACATATACCAGTGGCTTGCTGCTGGAGTCCTCCAAAAATAACTCAAACCAACAGAGGTTCCCGATGGGCTTTTTCAAACTTACTTAAATATTCCTTGCGTATTCATGCTTTGGGTGTCCATGTCTGATAAAAGACAATTGTCACCGTTGTCTTCACTGCAGTGTGCAATTGGCAGATGATATGGAGCATAGTCATAAATAATCACTTCAAAGCAAAGATATTTTGTAAAATTTTGTATTTTCAAATAGAAATGTTTGATTATCCTGTGTAAATTTTTGTTAAAGTTTTTTTGTACAAAAATTCATTTTAAACATTTGTCTGCACTCCTCAATATTCTTCCTCTTTTGTGATAATCATACAATTCTGTATTGAAATCTAAGAAATTCTTCACCAGCCTTCATAGTATGTAAATCATCAAACCCTGAACATTTTGATATCAAGAAATTAATTCTTTAAAGTTATTTTCAAATTCTGTTTAGAATACTTGAAGTCTGCATCAATTTTCAGCTTTGCGGGAATAATAACTACCTATATATTGTGTAGCAAAAAAACGGAAAAAAATAATTTGAACTCAATAATTGAAGACAAGTGAATATATGAATCACGAGATGAGCATGAATTTGCACTCGTGGTTCATATCAAATGATAACCCTAAATTTCCACTTTTCAAAACTAAAACAAGGTTCATGTATTATATATTTGGTTGTCATTTTACCTATGTGCATAAACATTTTTTAACCACAATACTTTATTAGTGAAATAGTCTACAGTAAGTGCAGTAAATAAAAGAAGAAAATAAAACATTTCAAAAACTTAACAATTTTCTTAATCAATTAATTTAAAATTGGTAAGATATACTTCCAAATAGTTTTTCTTCATGCATATTAAAGTGATGTCTGCATGTTTAACTTATCAAAACTGCCTGGAATTTCATTGTGATGGTCTGGTATTCTGCCATTCAGGCTTGGAGCACTAGGGGTTAAATCAGGACTTGCGGTTCTGCTTGGTGTACTTTGAAATTTAGTTGTGTGCAAGGTCCTACCCTTGACCTCTGTTTCCTGAGGGTTTGTGTGGCGTGGCAAGGGGATACAACAGTAGCTGTTCCCCCTCCACTACTGATGATGGTAACCCTACACCTCCTGCCGTAACTGATACGCTACATAAATCTTACTCTGGACTTCCAGGGGCATGTTCTCTTTTCTAAAGAGTTCCCAAATGGGAGAACTCAGAAATTAATCTTTCTAATTCTGGTAAATGCAGACTCCTTTCTGCTGATGAAAATACTCTGTTCTTAAATTATTATTTTTCAACTATATTTAGATTTTTATGAAAGAAAACAAAATATTAATGGTTTGAAGAGTTCCTGGTAAATTCCTGCAGTTTTGATGAACTACACAAGTGCCTCCTTAATAAACAAGTCTCTGGGCTGAATGCCTGCCATTGATAAAGTTTGAGGTATGAGCTGCATTAAAGAAAATATGTAAGAAATAAAATATCAGTGTGTGTATAAATGCATCTTTCAAACTTCAAAAGGTTTAGTTTTTGTATTTTATAAATATTTTTGCTGCAACAAAAAAGCTGATTGTTTTGCCAAGATTGATACCTAAATTTAACATGATCGCGGTGAAGTAGTAATGACAGAAATATGATGACGAGAGGAAATGGAATTACTGTTTAAGAAGAAATGTTATTGTGCATTCTTAAATTCTTCTGCTGCTTGTCTGCAGATTTGTGAAGTTTGCAAACAAACGAAAAATGGATCTTTGTAAATTTAATTTAGTCAACATGATATACACATACATAATTATCTTGTAAATGATGATACAGTAGTGCATGTAGGTACAGCAATATATGTTGAAGGAATTCCCCGAGTTGCTGTGAGAAGATTGGACCTTTTAGGCTACTGTAATTGTCAGCGGAATCAATTTAGGGGTTCTTTTGTAGATCTTTAATGGGTATATCAGTGTATATACATACTCATTGATGGAATGTGTGTTGGAACATATGGCGTGGGTTATAATTGTACTCCCGCCATAGAAGTGTATTTCGGCGGATTGTTTCATGATATTCGTGTTATGCCTTTGTTGGTGCCATCTTCAGTGGGCACGCTTGATTGGACCATGATGTTTAGTCAGGGGGGAAAAATGATGTTGATTAAAGGAAAGAATGTTCAACAGGATTTTATTGAACTCATTTGACTAATTAAAGGGAGACAATTCAAGAAATAAGGAATTTCATATTTTGTTGAGGAAAAAAATATACATTACAATGTATTATTCAATTTCTAGACATCTGAAATTCATTTTAAGTAAAGACAATGTTTTCAATTCAATTGGGCTAGTTTTTGATGTCCTTAATAGAAAATAACCGGTTTTGTGGCAGTTTGTTGGCTAGGCTATACAAAATTTAATATAACTGCACAGATTAACTTTTTCTATTTAAGCTATGTACATGCATGCATATGGACTTGTTCATTTCAGTCATATTCAAGTGAATGGCATTTCAAAAATTCTGTCGGATAAATGAGTTTCCCGAAGTGTATAAACCATCCACACTTAATTTCCCTTTGTATAAGTCATAGATTGATGTTTCATATTACAAACATTCTATATAGAAATCATCCACATTTAACTCACATTTAACTTTCTATTGTATATATACTGTACACAATCAACATTTCACTTCCCTTTCATATAAACTCTTGACATTTAACAATCTCATTATATTTAAATCATCCACACGTAGGCTTTTTCAGTATAGAAACTATTAGAGGTCAATTTAATACTACTGTATTACCCGTATTAAGTTTTGCTCTTATATTTACCACCTATACATTTAAATTTCAGTTGTATGTAAGACATTCACAATTAAGTCTCCCTTTTATTTAGGACATCTACATTTAAGTTTCCGTTGTATTTAAGATATCCTTTATTTGAGTTTCTTTTGTATTTAGTCATCCACATTCAATTTTCCGTTGTATTTAAGACATCCACATGACATCAACATTCAAGTTTCCATGGAATTTAAGACATCCACATTTAAGTTTCCATTGTATTTAAGACATCCTTATTTTAGTTTCTTTGTAGTTAAGACATCCACATTTAAGTTTCCATGGTATTTTAGACATCCACATTTAAGTTTTCATGATATTTAAGACAATCTAATTTTAGTTTCTTTATAGTTCGGACATCCACATTTAAGTTTACATTATATTTAAGTCATCCTTATTTTAGTTTCTTTCTAGTTAAGACAACCACATATAAGTTTCCATTGTATTTAAGACATCCACATTTAAGTTTCCATTGTATTTAAGACATCCACATTTAAGTTTCCATTATATTTAAGACATCAACATTTAATTAAGTTTATCATTGTATTTAAGACATCCACATTTAAATTTCCATTGTATTTAAGACATCCACATTTAAGTTTCCATTGTATTTAAGACATCCTTATTTTAGTTTCTTTGTAGTTAAGACATCCACATTTAAGTTTCCGTCGTATTGAAGACATCCACATTTAATTAAGTTTATCATTGTATTGAAGACATCCACATTTAAGTTTCCATTGTATTTAAGACATCCTTATTTTAGTTTCTTTGTAGTTAAGACATCCACATTTAAGTTTCCATGGTATTTAAGACATCCACATTTAAGTTTCCATGATATTTAAGACATCCTTATTTTAGTTTCTTTGTAGTTCAGACATCCACATTTAAGTTTACATTGTATTTAAGTCATCCTTATTTTAGTTTCTTTCTAGTTTAGACAACCACATTTAAATTTCCATTGTATTTAAGACATCCACATTGAAGTTTCCATTGTATTTAAGACATCCACATTTAAATTTCCATTGTATTTAAGACATCCACATTTAAGTTTCCATGGTATTTAAGACATCCACATTTAATTAAGTTTATCATTGTATTTAAGACATCCACATTTAAGTTTCCATTGTATTTAAGACATCCACATTTAAGTTTTCGTGGTATTTAAGACATCCACATTTAAGTTTCCATCGTACTTAAGACATCCACATTTAAGTTTCCATTGTATTTAAGACATCTACATTTAATTAAGTTTATCATTGTGTTTAAAACATCAACATTTAAGTTTCCATTATATTTAAGACATCCACATTTAAGTTTCCATTGTATTTAAGACATCGTCATTTAAGCTTCCATCGTTTTTAAGACATTCACATTTAAGTTTCCATTGTATTTAAGACATCCACATTTAAGCCTCCATAGTATTTAAGACATCTAGGTACATTTAAGCTTCCATTGTAATTAAAACATCTACATTTAAGTTTACACTGTGTTTAAGACATCCGCATTTAAACTTCCATGGCATTTAAGACATCCACATTTAAGTTTACATTGTATTTAAGACTTCTACATTCAAGTTTATCATTGTAAGAAATCATTCACATTTAAATCTCTCCTTGTTTACTAACCTCCACAGTTGTTACATGACAAGATATTAACACACACTATAACAATGACAGTACAGGGACCAGTGATGGTATGTGTCGCTGACCTTTGTGTCTCCTTGTATATTCGCAGTGCAATGAGAATTTTACTAACTAAAATTCCACGTCACTGGATCGTGGATGAGAAAAAAGATGATGGCTACACTGCACTCCATCTTGCCGCACTAAATAACCATGTGGAGGTGGCTGAACTCCTTGTCCACCAGGTAAAGTCATCATCTCAAGGTCAAGACCAAAAGGTTAAGGTAATAAACTAAAACATCAATGGCTAAGTTCAAGGTTACTAGGCCAAATTGATATACCGTATAAACCCGTGTAATTTGCGCAGGCACTTTTTGAGGCTGAGAAACCCCAAAAAAGCTTCTACTCAAATATTTTGCGCACCAAAAAAGTTTTGAGAAAAAAAACGATGTTCAAGTTCCGAAAATTGATCTCTTAAAAATGAAAGACAAATCGCTTGGGATTCTTAGGATTTTTGTAATTTGTTTATTATAAGTGAGTTCATAAGTATTGTTTACAGGTACAAAGATATCAAAACTAAGAAAAAACTGCGTAAAATGTGTATTTTGTTGTTTGTTTCCTTTGAAATATCTGATCTCACATGACACACACACGTGTGCGCATATCGGCATACATCAATTCATTTAAGCAATATTTTATGTAAAACGTTTACTTGCTTACAAAAACATATCAATTAATTTCAATGTTTAGTAACCGCTGGTGCATATCCCCCCCCCCCCCATTTAATTTCTCAAAAAAAGTGCGCAAATTACACGGGTTTTTACGGTAATTTCTTTGTAGGTTATAATTCTAATTTCAGTGATCATCAAGCCAATTTAAAGAAATAATTTCATTCAGTGAGATTAACCCTTTCACCCCTATGTAACTTTAATAAACTATACCTTGTCTTGATCTGGATAAGTCCATTATAGTATACAGTGGTGAACTGGTTAAAATAGAATAACATTTTGTGAACACCACCTGTAAAACTTTTTTATCAATATCAGATCAAATCTTCTTTTACAAAATAAGGCTGTGATTTTAAGATCATGTTTGACTAGCTTTCAAATGTTTATCAAGATAGTTGCCCTTGTTATTGTTGTATTCATGTGTTACTTATTGATGTCAGACTGCTAGAGAGAAATTGGTTAATTGACAATCATGAGAATTAATGAAAACTATTTTATTTGTACTGAATTGTTTTTTTAATAAAAGTAAAATACATGTAATACATTTGGATATATATTTGCTGTGTTAAAGTGTTTGAAACGTTTTATTCAAGGGGAAGGCCAACATGGACATTCAGAATGTCAACCTTCAGACTGCTCTACATCTGGCTGTGGAACGTCAACACACACAGATTGTCAGGGTGAGAGTTACCTCCATCATCTGTCCACAGTTATGTCCCTTCTCTAGTTAATATATGCATGGGATTGCATTAGGAATCAATGCAATTCTATTTTTCTTATTTGATAAGATTTTGTTTTCTACTCAATAACTTTCTGTAGTGTTTTTTGAGGGGCCTGCACAATTGCCATTGTGTTAATATTTCATATTTAGGTTGACCTAGGGATGCACTTTTAAACTTGCTCATATTAGGACCCATGATTAAAAGGGCTAATGCTATACTTACATGTATTCTGCTTTGAACAGAATCTTCTGAGTTCTACAATAGTCACTTTTGTACCTAGGCCAAGATGTTATACCTGTGCCATAACAACAACAAAATTGGGGGGGGGGGGCATGTAGTGCTGCCAATGTCCGTCCTGTCGTGTCGTGATTCTATGTCAATGCTCTAGCAACTTCATCTTTGACGGAATTTGATCAGACTTTATAAAAAGTATGAGAATACTTCTGACATCTTTGTGTTTTATAGTTCCAAGATCAAGGCCAAAGTTTGTGTTGCTGTGTATGTAGAAAATCAATAACTGATTCATTGTCCTCACTCTAACTTCATTTCTTAACATACTCTCACTCATCAAAGTTTATACAGATTTAAAGTACGAGAATACCGCTGATTGGTTCATGTTTCAAAGGGCACTGCATGTTGCTATTTATAGAAACAAAGTCATTGTAACTATTTATAGAACATTATCAAACACTGAAACTAATTTCACATGACAGTGGGAACATTTATATCTTACAGACATTTTCTAGTTAGATTCTGATATTAACTTAATAATCATATAAAAAAATAGGTAATTAGTTCATGTCAGATGGTATATTACCTACATGTTTGTTGTAGTTATTGGTGCGGGAGGGATGTAACCTGAACGTGCCAGACAAAGATGGTGACACTCCCCTCCACGAGGCCCTGAGACATCACACCTTATCCCAGCTCCGACAGCTCCAGGACATGCAGGATGTCGGCAAGGTAGATAAGATAATCGTGTTTCTCCATACGCTTGACTTTTCTCTCATTGGAAGGAAACAAATAAATAAATGAGTGGCCACTTTCATTGTATGATGCATTCTTGATTTGATGCAGAATTTTGATACCCTGTACAATCTTGCTAAAATAATTGTTTATGAATTTTGAGCAATAAATATCCTTCTATGAACTGCTACTTTTATAGTTCTTAGTTATCTCCCTTTAATTTAGTTATCTCCCTTTAATATATATAATGTGTACAGTGGCTGTGAGAAATAAACATTGTATGAACATAGATAAGATATCTGAACTGAAACCAACTCTTGGAACTATTTGAAGTTAAGTGATCAACTGTGGACTTCAGAGCCCTCATTTATCAATATGAACAAGAATTGAGTACAGGGAAAAGTAACGGAAGTTTTGTTGTTGCCATAGTTACTGATGGGACTAGGAACACCTGGAGCAGATAAAAAGTCCAGTGCTTCCATTGCTTGTTTCCTGGCCGCTAATGGAGCTGACCTCAGCATCAAAAATAAGAAGGGTCAAACTCCACTTGACCTTTGCCCTGACCCTAACCTTTGTAAAGCCCTGGCTAAGTGTCATAAGGAACGTCACAGGTATGCAATCTGCTCATTTCTACTGTTAAGTTCAGTTATTTGTAAAATGCTTATCTCCTATAAAAAAAAAAGTAACATTAATTACTACTGGATAAAAAAAAAACAGGACATAAACAGAAATAAAACTTGACCCTCTCAAGGTGAACAATTTCATTTTAGTTGAAAATGTGTGGCAGTCAGTGGTTGGGTATGGCAGGATGAAAGACAAAAATATTGTCTTCTTTGACCATAAAATTATGTTGAATGTCTTTAAGCCTTGTGCACTTAGTTCCCAATAGCATTTCTTATACAAGGAAACCTGATTTTATCACAAGGAAACCTGATTTATCACAAGGAAACCTGATTTTATCACAAGGAAACCTGATTTTATCAATAAAGATATAGAGGATATTTAATGGGGGAGGAATAACAAATATTTTAAAATATCAAAATATTAGCGACACGAGTGACACAATTTCGACGATTTCTGCTATTTTCTGGTATGATTGCTTATAAAAATGTCATTACTGGTATATAATGTAAATACTTAAGTCTGTGAACCAAACATTTACCATAACAACCACTTATTCTACCATCGCTTCATGTGAATCTGTGACAAAATATCGTTGCCTTTGAATGTAGTGAATAGAAGATACCGCTATGATTGGTCAATACTAAAAAGTGATATTTTCACACTGTGAACATATCACTTTTGATATTTGTCACAGTGTGAAAGATATCAATTTTATCAAGTTGATAGAGTCCGATATTTCACTGGCAAAAATGTAATCAATATGTTTTCTATATTACTTGTCAAGACTTACAATGTAAGCACATCCATATTTGCTATTGCTCTGGAGTCACCTTAATTGATTGTGACCTTGAAGCCTGTATCCCCTTTTATGAATTGTGATTTGATGTTGAACAGCCCTGGAGCAGCTGCCGAGAACACTGTGATTATCCGTAATGACCAGGAGTCGCTTCAGGAGTGTATGGTGTGTTCGGACCTGAAGCGGGACACCCTGTTTGGGCCGTGCAGTCACATTGCCACCTGTTCTCTCTGTTCGCCCAGAGTAAAGAAATGTCTGATGTGCAAGGAGCAGGTCCAATCTAGGACTAAGGTACTCACTCTTGAGGTCACAAGGTCTTACACATTGGTATATCTTTGTATATATGTCTATATATTACACCTGTAACTTAGTTAGAAGTATACTAGAATCAGGACGTCTGTTTGTAACTTTGGAATTTGTTTTCACTTAACACTTCGTGGAGTTCTGCTCATTGACCGAAAAAAAATGTGTCCAAAGTTCTGCTCATTGACCGAAAAAACATGTACCACCTATTTGTTAAAAAATGTTATTTAAAGAACTAACCCTGCCGTTGTTGGCACAGGTGGGGGTTATTGTCTACCATACTACAGTTCTAGTTGAGTTAGGCTTTTAATGTCTAGTTAAGTTACCCTAAAATCTGAAAAATAAGAAGCTATTTAGACTGTAAGGTGTATGCAGCTTATTTTTAAGGCCGCCTAAATTTTGAAAACTTTTTAAATGGTCTAAGCCATAGTTAAACTCACCTCGCCAAATTTTGCACTATAAACTGAGAAAAAAAGTTGCGTAATGTGGTACCTGAACATATTGCCTATTTTACCATAACAAAATAATAAGTGCACACATTTGTCCGATATCGCTAGATTTGCAGATGTTTAAAAAACAAAAGAGAATTGTGTATTTCAGAAAAAAAAGTTTATATTCATCAATAAATAGGATAAATAATATTTTATACAACATTTGATATAGCGCCCTATCTAGATAGAATAGGCTACTCTAAAGCACTTTAGAGTACATAGATATACAATTTACACAATTAGTATATATACATGATTAATCAATACAATTTTTGAGGAATTTGCAGGAGCTGCCTTATCAGGCACTAACTACTAGTCCTATACCGCCTGGCTAATGTCTCCCTATGTATGTATGCCTGTGTGTGTACTGGAGATGTAATGTGGTCTGTTTTTAGTGGGACTGGGCTTCTAACAGTAGCATTTCATTTCACTTGAATGCTACAGTACAGATGTCGCAACATCCGCCCCATACCATTTTATACTCCACTTGGTATGTTGGAATTGTGTGGGCAGGAGAAAATCACTTTCTCTGAATATTCCGTGCGTATGACGACTTCGGAGATCGAAGCCGCCTGCGTGGAAGGCCGGAGTGTTAACCACTCAGCAAATCTGCCCATAGATCGATTAATAAGATATTGGGGGGACTAAAATAAAGGACTTGGGTCGTTATGGGTAATTTTTGGCCTCATAAAAAGTAAATATTTCAACTTGAATTTATTAACCAATTTCTGTTATAAACATCACATTGGTTAATTAGGGCTATCTTTCTTGGTGATTTTTTTCCAGTGTGCATATACCTAGATGCCCTACCATAGCAGCAAAAGTGTGTTGCTATGCAGAAATAGCCAAAATATTGTGTTTTTGGACAGTTAACATGCAGAAATGAGTGTTTAATTAATTTCCTTCAAAATGGACAATTTTCAACCACCTATCGCACAACAGATGATATTGACGCATTATGAAAATGCTGGTTTATGTCTCCTAAATTAAAACAGCTATCGAATGAATTTTGATTTCATATTTGCGTACATTTATTTTAGATTACGAATATAACACCCCGATGAGGCCGGAAATGACTCTTAACGCCCCTAGTCCTTTCAGTCATATATCTTTAACAACAAATTGAGGTAGTTAAAAGTTTGACTCACATTCCTAGAATGTATAAATTTTCCACTTATATGTCTATATGTGGAGTTTTTTCCATACACAGATTGAGGAGTGCGTGGTATGCTCGGATAAGAAAGCATCAGTATTATTCCTTCCGTGTGGTCACATGTGTGCTTGTGATGGTAGGTATTTTTTAATTCAATTTAAAATTATTTCTATCAATTCTCCTAGAGAACTTGTTTTTTTACACCCACGTTCTTTAAGGATATATCAATAAGTGTTATGCTCATTAATAAGTACTTAGTACTCCATTTTCCGTACTCCATTTATTGGGGGGGGGGGGGGGGGACGCCTTTTGATAAATTAATGCAACTTGTGAAGGTGACTCATTTTTCTTTTAGCAAACACAGGTTGACAGTATGAGAAAACTTGAGAAGAAGTTGAGAAATACTTGATAATGACTTAAGAATGGATTTTCTCAAAAGAGAATGTTTGCTCGTGCTAGTAGATCCCATGAACTAGAAATAGTATCCACATAACAGTGTTCTGCAGAAGAAAATAGTCTGTCATAAACAAATTTTAACTGTTTGGTCTGATGTACACAGGTTGTGCTGTCCTTATGAAGAAGTGTGTGCAGTGTCGGTCCTCCATAGAGAAGACTGTCCCTTTTATTGTGTGTTGTGGAGGAACACGTAAGTTACCTGTCTTTTGTTTATATATCTGTATTAGTTAATATCTGATCCTTTGATTCAGATTTATTTTACATTTAATACGTACATGCAGTTATAGTGTCATCATTTTGATATTCATTTCCTTATGCAGATTTGTTAAAATTTTGTTTGGAATGAGTTCAATTGCTAGACAATTAATCAGTTATTGTGTATCTGGAAAGTGGGATTACTATAGTTGATGACAGCTATGGAACAATATGTCGGATGTATAAGAGGCATTTGATTTGTGTTATCAGCACCCCCTGCCCCCCAGCCACCCGGTGTGATGAACAATGGGTCACGTGACGTATCTAAGGACATTCAGAAGCTACAGCAACAATTACAGGACATCAAGGATCAGGTAAACTCCATTAGACAACCATTGATAGCGATTTGATAACTCTTGTTACACCCCTCACAGATAAAGGAGGTTGCTTTTTGGGGTGGGGGTGGGGGGAAGGTATATAGAAATCACCCTCTCTGTCCATGAACCTCATAAGGGCAACTCCTCCTAAACTCTATGTTGGTTTTATCAGTAACTTGGCATTGATTATATATTTGGTTGCATGAAGGAAGGAATGAATAATCTCAAGTATTTTTCCTGGAGTTATGGCCCTTGAAGCTTAATTTCTGCTCCAGAAACCTTGCAAGTGCAACGTCGCCTCTTTTTAGTTGTTGGTGTTTTGTAACTTAGCTCAGTGAAAGAACATCATATGTAGATGTGTGTGAGGGAAGGGATTTGTGATCTGATATTATACCCCCTGCGTACACAGTTTAAATACCTAGATAAAATGAAGTGACGTATATCTGTATTATACTGAAAAGTCAGTACAGAACTTATGTAAATGCTCTTAGTCTAGCATACTCAAGTTTCGGCAATTTAATAGATTATCTCGTTGATCGTTTGCGTACCACAAAAATATGCAATAGGTAGCAATATACAAGAGCTTCAATTAGCCCATTCATAACTTAGCGCAATAATTAAACCATGAAGAGAATTAAAATAAGACTACCTCTTAAATATGTATGTTTACAGTATATTAACCTCTCTGGCACTGACTCTATATAGCCCTACCAAGATTGGATGGCATTCATTTAAACTGTAACTTCCATTGCCAATTTGTTGATGGTTGATGTCATTAAAATAAGGTCATAATTTTAATGTTAGATACAATTGACCCTCCATGGAAGATGGCTGTTCTATTTATTGAACAAGCATACATGATACATACACTAATTTGAACAATAGGCTGGATGTTATTAAGCATATTCTAATTTCTATGATATTAAAATAATCCAAAAATGGTAAATATAACCATTGAATAGTGTTGATAGCATGCATTTTGTTATGTTTGACTGCAAAGCTGTGTCATTCATATAGACTGTAAAATATTGTATCAACACAGTTCAAAGCTTAATGTTATGATAAATGTTATGAACTGTCTAGTCCCCACCATCCCGAGGTGGAAGGGTGATAGGCCTATTTACTTTGTTTTCAAAATAGAATATACAGATATGAACATCAGATTGCCTTTGATGTGTCATGTGTCTAAACTCTAGTGTAGGTCAGACTTCTCCTTACAGATAAACTTTCATTTAATGAAGGTCAACAATATAAATTACATAGAAAATTGTAATAGAGAGATATGGGTAGTAAATGTGTACTGTTGATTGTTTTAGTATTTTTCCTGATGTTACATCCTTTTTCTCCATCTCTTCAGACCAGCTGTCCAGTGTGTATGGATCGCCTGAAAAACATGATTTTCCTGTGTGGACACGGCACATGTCAGATGTGTGGAGACAGAATGGCTGAGTGTCCCATCTGTCGCAAGTCTGTAGAGAAACGCATCCTCCTCTACTAAGAGAGGCAACTATTAAAATGCATCACCTTCTATGGGAGACAACTACTCAAATACAACCTCCTCTGCCAGTGGAGACAACTAAGAGATTACATCCTCCAGTAGTTGTGTTGACAACTAATAGAACACATCCTCCAGTAGTTGTGTTGACAACTAATAGAACACATCCTCCAGTAGTTGTGTTGACAACTAATAGAACACATCCTCCAGTAGTTGTGTTGACAACTAATAGAACACATCCTCCAGTAGTTGTGTTGACAACTAATAGAACACATCCTCCAGTAGTTGTGTTGACAACTAATAGAACACATCCTCCAGTAGTTGTGTTGACAACTAATAGAACACATCCTCCAGTAGTTGTGTTGACAACTATTGAAATAGAACATCCTCTACCAGTGGTGACAACTAATAGAACACATCCTCTTGTAGTTAGGTTGACAACTATTGAAATAGAACATTCTCTACCAGTGGTGACAACTAATAGAGCACATCCTTCTGTAGCTATGTTGAAACTAATAGAACACATCCTCCTGTAGTTGTCTTGACAATTATTCAAATGCATCCTCTTCTGCTAGGGGAGACAACTGTTGAAATGCATCACCTTCTATGAGAGACAACTACTGAAAAACAACCTCCTCTATCAGTGGAGACAACTTATAGAGCACATCTTCCTGTAGTTCTCTTGACAACTATTCAAATGCATCCTCTTCTGCTAGGGGAGACAACTGTTGAAATGCGTCCTACTCTACTAGTTGAAACAAATATTGGAACACATTCTCTTCTACTAGTGGAGACAACTTTTTAAATGCACTCTTCAATGGAAAAGGAAGCTAATGGAACACACCTTCCCCCCTCCTGAGGCAACTACAGAACTATATCATAGAGTAGGAGGAAATAGCAGTAGAAGACGTTTCATCTCAACTCTCGATATTCAAGCATAGAAAGTATGCCATGGAACTTACATATATATATGTCTACAGAAAGAAAAAAGTTCCTTGTTTTAGGATGTTGTTGTTGGAGATAGTTAACAACTCTTAACAGGGGAAAACATTGTCCTCTTCACAGGGTAGAGAAGGGAAAATTTACTGTAGAGTGAAAAATATATTTATTATCTTCTCAACCTTAAATAGGAGGACGACACATACGCTTGGAATGAATGACATACTGAGATTGTGATATTTGACTTGCCTTGTTCCCGTCATTCCTGTGTAGATGTCAAGGGAGGTAACCACGGTGTTTAGTTAACAGAAGGACTCTCGGACCCTTACCATTAGTAAAGACCCCTTTCCAAGACAATTTGTGTCATATTGACGTCCTATAACTTCCTAATTATAGAGACTATACCAGACGTAGGTGGCATTCGTTTGTGCCAACAGCTTGTGATGAGCAAATCAAAATTGATGAAACCAATGTGACATACAAGATATCGGATCGTTTTTTTGTGCATGCATAATTCTTTGCATTATTGACAAAGTAATGAAATCACAAGTTGGTTTGAACAAGGGTTTGTTCATATGCCAATATCACATAGAAGAAATAAACACAAAAAATAGTTTGCAAAAAAAGATTTTCATGAAAATTTGCAAAATTTGCATCATATTTGGATTTTCCAGTATAATTTATAACAACTTAGTTGCATATATAGAGGATATTTAATGAAAGCTGATTTGACTATGACTTATATCCAACTGTGTGACTTTGTTCTTGGTCATAATGAGAATTAGACATGCGTATGCCACAGACTAGATAAAACGGTACTCTAAGCATTCAACTTGTTATTCCTTCACAGATAGAAAGTTAGTTTAAAATTAAATTGTCCTTTTGAAATTATGTTACGGATAAAATATGTACAAAAAAAACATCAGGCAATTGTCTATATAATTTCCAAAGCTGTTTCACCTTATAGTTATCATTATATATGTATTTGCTTTGTGATCTTACTGCATGAACTATATGAATACAGAGTTGTGTCCCCTTGATATATTATCGTGCTTGTTAATTGTCATATGTGTGTATAATTTTGATCAAGGGAAATAACTCTTATTCAATATATTGTTACAAAACTTCAAAATTTACTCTGGTCTAATAATTGATGTCCTTACACATGTGAGGATACGTGTCTTTGCTCTTGATGATTTGAGTGATCAGCATGGCTTGTATTAAGCAAATTATTGACAGACTTTTGGACTGATGGAAAAAGTGAATGTCTTTATCACCAGGTATATAAACAGGTCTGATCATTTTGTGATATCAGGATTTTTGATATCTGACTCTCTGATATCTGTGGGTATACTGATTAATACAAGAACAAAACATGGGTTTGCTTATTATTATGGTTTTATTAACTGCGAGACAATGTCTGATTTTCATGCTTATAAATATGTTCAATTCATTCATTGTGTAGATTATCATTTAATCAATTTTTTAATCTAAACCATTACCGGTTTTTTTCAGTTTATTAACTTCCAATAATAGTCATTAGGATCAATCTAGCATTGTAGCCATTGCCATCAGTCCTATGTGATCATGTGTCCTGTGATTATTTGATAAGAAATGCCTGCTTCTTTAATTTTTCGGTCTATATTCTTTGTGAATCTGCCTTTCAGTTTGTTCTTTCCTTCCATAAATAACACCGACCGTTTTCACCATTTCAGTTTTAATACATAATTTTTTATTTTTTGAGAATAATCGTTTAAACTTGAATGAATTAAGCGGTAGATGAGTAAGATTTTCAGTTTTCACAAAACGTATATAATAACATATGGTATTGTTTTTGTGCTTAGGAAATCTGTTTAAGTTTTGTAATTTCAACAAAATAAAAAGAAAGATATAGATTTTCACGAAAATTTTCCTTTGCTAAAATCAATTTGGTTAAATAAATGAAAACACAACCAAGTATCAAAGCTAGAATATTTGAACCAGAAAAGTTACTTGATGGAACTACAGTTACATAGTGAATACAGTGTACAATTCTGATTGTAAATTGTTTACGGTGGTTAAATGACTATAGATTGTACTAATGTAATTGGACTGTAACGGATGGTTAGGGCATTATGTTACTAATTTGACAATGTTTATAAATAGTATGTTAAATGAGGTACCACCCGTCGTCCTCCTGAATATATGTCTGCAGTACTAGCCACAGTAAACCCTTACTAGTCTTTTCTCTGAAGTTGTGGTAAATGCTGCTCTCTGATTGGTCACTTTTACTGTGAAATCACAAAGGTGTTAATTTTCATATTCTTGGTAAAATATTGATGTCTTTAACCATAAATTGAAATTTCTGGTGAAATTGAGGAGGGGAGGGGTGGGGGGGTTGACTGATAACCTGTTTAAGAAATAAACCTCAGCTTAATCATTATCAAGGGTTTGTAATGATGGGCTTATCATTGGTAAAATACAGTACTGTGATTTAATGTGTATCTCTGTACGGTAGGATATCATATTCAACAATCTCTGTTGTATTATAATGCATCAGTTATAGTCTGATATTACATACATGAAGTGTTGATGTACAACACATGGCATGGTGAGCCAGGTTGTTCTAAGGAAGTCTTTTACTAAGCAGACAGTGTTCTATAGCTAGGTAGGAAAACCTGAGGTATTGATTTTCCTGGCACAGATAGTTGTATTATTGTGCTGTAAATAACTTGACATCGTATAACCTATGTTGACTGTAAATTTATCATGTATATGGTTTCCCTCAGCTATAATGTATAGTCGGACCCAAATGATCTTCATATTAAGTAATCCCTTTATTTTCAGATTTGATTACCTTTTTGATTGTCCAGGTGTGTTGAGTAGAGTAAATATGGCATAGGATGTCACAACTGTTTCACCTGTAACTTGAGTTGTCAATTTCTTACAACAATAGATCTCCCTATGCTATCTATATAAATATTGACCCCCCTGTAATCATTGACGGCTAATCGAAGATCAACACGGCACGTCATTGTGGTCTGACTATTCATTGTTCCCATCAGCTGTTTGTTTACTTGTTTGCTTATTGTGATATTCTATGAGACTTGTTGAATTGGTCAGTTTCAATAGTAATTATATAAATTGTTTACTGTCTTATTTGAGAAAAGAAACTCTGTTTGTCTACTTCAGTCAAATGTGATCTTCTAAAAACCAACATTCATTTGGTGTTAACATCTGTATACAGTATTTTTTGCATGTGCAGTTTCCTCTGGAACCTTTTTGTTGTGGAGATCTGTGTATTATACAAATATCTTCCTTACTAGGGTTACATTTCTTTCAGGAAACTAGTATGTATTAGTATACCAAGAACGTTTAAGGTATGATTCCTGTGTTCTTACATCAGATTTGTTGATATACTGAACAAATATATGACAAGCTTTAGTTAAAAAGCTGTTTGTAACAAGTTTCAGAAATTTCCTAGAAAAGAAAATGAAGTCGAAACAATTCTCATCATGACATGTAGATTTCTTAATTATGCCGCCTTGCAGAAAAATGAACTCTTGTCTAATTGAAAATGGCTAACCAGACAGCCCTGAATTCAGTGCTATAAGCATGTTATCTATGACGGAATATAAACTGTTTGTGTTATATTTACCTACAGTACCGTAATATATTCTAAACACCTGGCCTAAATGACCTAGAGTATTCTTATGCCAAAAGAAGTTATCTCCCTTTGCTACACACAGGACTTTGTGTTAACGTATTCAAACATTTCTTGCCTTCCACCTACAACTCAATCACACATTCAACTACACATGAATGTATTCAACAATCTATAGCCACAGAATGTCTGTTGAATAACATTATTTCCTTAAATTCTAATTAAATTATTGGTACCTTCATTTGTGTTGCATGCACTTCTTTTGTTACTACCGGTTTCATTTCTTAATTATAATATGATGACGGTGATAGCTTTCAAATATAATTTATGTTTTTATGTGGTAAATTATTATAGTTTCCTTCATGAATCAAGTCATTACAAAGGCTTGAGTTAACCCAACATTAATTTTCGTTTTGTCAGATTGTGGTACTTTGATAACTTTTGTGAGGTCTACAGATAGAATAAATCAAAAACTGTTAGAATGAACACAATGGAGATAACAGATTTCAAGAAAGATTTCCCCCAGTCCTAGATTGTGATATGAACATGCTCCATTGTGTACATTGAAGCCGTAGAAACAGCCAGGACAGTGTACTCTGCCGTCACTATTCATGCCAGTCATATACTTAAGTCTTCTCCAAGAAGCTTCTGTGGTTTTGGTATTACCCTGTATTAATTTTGATCTAATTGCATTTACATGTTGTGTCTTTAGTGATAAGTTATTCGACAACACAGTGATACATTAAATCAATATTGAAGAATGCATACATACATTGGTGTTGGTTTGTTTCTTTTCGACTATGTGATACTACAGTACCTTGTTTAATAGATATATTGGCTGCTCAAGTGCCTGTTTCTACGTTCCATTACCAAACGTAGTAGTATGATTTATTGTAAGTGTTTTTAGATAAAATAATGACATCTTATAGCGAACTGGAAATTTGACAAGGGAAGACAAAGAAATTTTCACTAATTTGATGTGCCTGTGGTTTACATATGTTGAAGTTAATTAACAATTAAAGAAGGAACATTGATGATTATAATAAATGTTTTGATGACTCCGGTCTTTTAAGATATCTGAATGCACTAGATACTATAGAAGCTGGTCATGAAAGGCAAGTTTAAGATTAGTGTCATCAATAAGAAGGCATGCATACTGATGACAATGAAATGTGTGTATTCCTAGATTGGAATTTACCGAAGACAAACTAAGAAAATTCCGAAAGGGATAGGAATGTCGAAAACCGCCCAAGAATACATCGTAAACATGGGATAGTCATGCAATCCTTCAAAAATGACAAATTGCCGGTAGATAAATAAAATACTCAAATGTGTGGGCTGATATAAGTTCAAAATCGATGTAAAGACTTGGACATCAAAATGTGTGAAGAGGTTGACATGAACAAGATGGTTACTGTTTCAAGTTCCTGCAAGGTCCCATCCAGACGCTAATTGCAATGTCAAAGATGGACAATCGCCATAATCGGGTCTAAACACAAGGCCTTAATGACCAATTATTCATATAAAAAAAGTTGTTCCCATATTAGTAACATATCGTCTTAACTTTGTAATTCCTGGTATAAGTACACATACTATAACAGTTAAACACTTGGATTTAAAACACCATGTCAATTTGAACACATCACTTTAAACACGGATTTAGATTAGGTTATCTAAGTCCGTGCTTGAATTCCTCAACTGCTAGTACTTAAATTCGTGTTTCATTCACTATCTTAGATGATTCTGAATAATCTTTATGGTACACTGACAGGGTATCATATCTAATATTTTACTGCAATTTCGTTGAGAGAAAGAATACTGAATTCTGGGAGATGATGGTGTAGACGGCGCCATTATCAGATGTTGCCTATGTTTTTTATGTGGTAAATTATTATACTTTCTTTCATGAATGAAATCATTACGAGACTTGAATTACCAAGGTAATCAATATCCGATATATCAGATTGTGGTACTTTGACATTTGTTGAGATATCTACAGAGCACAGAGTAAACATACTATCGATGATGGAAAGATATGTTTTGTCGTTTATTACATTGGAACAGTACAGATAAGATAACAGATTGTATATTCTGCCGTCACTATTCTTCCAATTTATATAACAAATGCTTCTATGGTCATCATTCCTCTGTAATATACTATTAGCTTTAGGTAGAGGCCTCTGTGGTTTTGATATTTTTCATGTAATAATTTTATTCGGATTACATTCACATGTATCTTTAGCAATATTTTCTCGTCAAAAAGTGATACAACTATTCTATGAAATAAGAATAAATGCATACATACATAAATAAGTAATGCATTTCTTCGGTCTGCTTAAGCCTGCAATGTAGATTACCTCCTTAGATACATGTTTATGACAGAATGAAATTAATCTTAAATTTGATCTGTCTGGTTGATAGATAATCCAGTAAATCTGACCAATCTAAATGTCCGGGTGTCTCCCGTCCATTCAAGAGCAATTCCACTGGCTAATAAAAAAAAAAATAACCCTGACTTCCCACTTAAAATATCCAGAATATTTTATCATTGTTAAGGTTAGTGTTTGATTTGATAAGAAAGTTTCCTGGCTTTTCGTTGATAAGAATTATATACAGTAATATTGTTAGAATGGGACTTCGATTAATGCCACTAATAAGAACGAATGTTTAGTTATTTCATCTTCTTTATTGAAGTCGAAAACGGCTTTATCATGGAACTCTTCAAAACTATCGTAACTGATACAGCGGTGCCATTCAACTAAATTGGGTTTTCAGAGGCTTTACATTAGACGCTTCATAATACGTCAATTTTGGCACGAGAAAGGAACATGTCGGAAAAAGAGTAAGCCCATAAGAAATAATTCATTCGTAAAACAATTGTTTTATTACAATAGAATGGTAATGAAACCAGTCTCGGAATAAGCAGAGATAGTAGCTCTAAATCAATTATGTTTGGCCGACTTTGTGTATGCGAAGAGAAAAATGAAAAAGTGGTTAAAATATACAGATACACACCAAAAAAGTTTAAAAAAACGAACGTCAATATAGGATACAATTAAACAAGCATGTATAATAAATAATGAAACTTGATATCACAACATTCATATTGCACTGTCTCTGATTATAATACTTAAAGCAAGTCACACGCTGTGTTTAACATAAGAAAGCCCGATGTCCTTGGTTATGCACTGGGTCATAACGTGGAAGCAATTTAACATTACGAATACGTCCTGTCTTAAAATCAAAATACTTTTGTTGATGCCTGGTAATTTCCGGTATTATGTTTAGTTCCCACACGTCATTCTTGAGTGAAATCTGTATCTGGTACCGTATCCCTGACATAGGGCAGGTTGTCCCGGGACATCATAGAAGCGGGTGTCCGGAAAAGGTACCGTCGGTCACGTGCATCGCTGTGTATCCGGGAACACTGTATCTCCTTGGCTTTTTTAGGACTAATGTACATCAAGCGGTTTTCCTCGCTCCGACAGTCAAACCAATCCAGCCAATCAGGGCTCAACTGTCTGAGGACGAACGCAATAGAAACGTACAATAAACATATCAGACGACAAGGGGTCGGCACAGAGAAAATCTCAAACATGGTATCATTACATTTGTTAGATTATAAATAAAACAGTTGTGATGGAAATCAGCAGTCTGTGAAAGTCACAAACGTACATTCCTTTTAACATTTGTTAGTTAATTTTCTTGTCAATTACAACGCTATTGAAACAAAACGTTGTATCATGGAGGAGAAGAGTCGATGTATCTCTCAGCAGTTTTTCATGCATACTTTTTGTGTTGGCAGTTTTTGAGATATGACAAGTCGATCTCGGTATTAGGTTTTAACTGTATTTTTTTTTGTAAGATAACGAACAAAAGTGCGCAACAAAAAAGGTTTCTTTAGAATAATTCGCCACCTTTTGAAAACCGCTCAACCAAAAGTATAGATATTATTTTGGTACGTACTTTGTGATCAGGGGGACGATTTTGGTTGACATTCAATGCTTGCTTTAATTAATAACCCATTGGTTGTTTATTGTATATTTTGGGAATAACGCATTGGTAAACTACACGGAGAAATAAACAACTTTCATCGATAAGGTAAATTTGTGACGTTTAGTATGACTGACATAGAAATGTATTTGAAATGTCTAACAATAGCATAAGTGTTCATTGAATAAAAAGGAAATCGATTCTACTTACTGGTGTATGATGTCGTAGAGGTCAGGGGTTAAAGGCAGTACATCTGAGGCGGCTACGTTCAGCATGGCCCTGGTGACGGGGCGAAGTCCCCAGTAGTTCATATCACTTTTAATGCGGTTCTGTCACATCACATACAAAAACGGTTTGTATTAATTTTTGTCGGTAGTGTTATACAACTATATCAAAAATATTATCTGAATTGAAGTTTGCTAGCTTCCGGATACAATTAATTGTGATTCACATTATCTGTCGTCCATGCGCATTGAACTCGTCTTTGAAGAATATAGGAATAAACATGTTTGTGGATGTCAGAAAATATATTGCTTTTAGTTTTAGCCACACTTCTGCGACGTTTGAGAACATAAGAATGTCTTTTAAATACGATCTCATTGTTCTGCTTTATTTAAGAGGTTTCAATAGTGCCCTTTCTATGACTACCTGTAGCTGTGGGTCGGGAATGAACCTGTCGATTTGATACCGTGTACACAGACTGTCGAATGTTATACGACGTGGTGGAAGACCAAGGGATTCCAGGATTACCGACCCTGCAGTCTAAAAATAGACAAAACGTTGAGTTGCCTGTAAGTATATCTTTTATTTCATCGCATTTATATAAAAACTTACATGATAAATTACTAGACTGTTTTCCAAAATAATTGTATTCAATAAACCAACACGATTATAACATGGACACAATACCAGAAATATAGAAACATAAGCCTAGAGAATATCTTTTGACTCAGGTTCCTGTTGTCGATATTTGTCCAACAAGTCTATTTTTAGAATGATTTGATAAAATGACACGTACACGTATTAAAAATAGTTGATACTTTATTCATTTTTGGATGAAGGACGCAATACATCTCATTCAAAATAACGTGCTCACCAATACTTAGTTCGGAAAGAAATGTGAAAAAACGGAACTCACATAAAGCACGTGATCTACAGTAGTTTTACCTGTATGTCAAAGTAATTCTTCAGTGTCATATTTCATTTGGGGAAGAATCGTAAAACGGAACTCACATAAAGCACGTGATCTACAGTAGTTTTACCTGTATGTCAAAGTAATTCTTCAGTGTCATATTTCATTTGGGGAAGAATCGTTAAACGGAACTCACATAAAGCACGTGATCTACAGTAGTTTTACCTGTATGTCAAAGTAATTCTTCAGTGTCATATTTCATTTGGGGAAGAATCGTTAAACCATGAATTTACGTACATCATTTGATCTACAGAAGACTTACCTGTGTGTCAAAGTAGTTCTTTAGTGTCACCCCAAACGAGAAGTGGAGATTGGCACACGCCTGACTGCAGTCGTGGATAACCTGTTTATGATGGCGGAATGTTATAAGTTTATTGAAAAAATAATCCATGGGCATGCTACATAAATATATTATAAACTATGTGCTTATTTCTGTAATGTATTTACGATTGCATTGCCCTAAAAAGTGTTTAAGATAACAAGTATGTACTTCTTCATTGCAATTCAAAACTACATGTATGCTTGTTATTCAGAAATGTTATACAGAGAATAGTTTAATGTGAAATGAACACGTGAAGCTTATACAAAATCATTTATTGATAATACGTGGTAGTTGGGTTTTTTGGAAACTATAATATGCATGATTGTTCTTGATATGATGTGGAAATACATGCTAGTTGAGTGGGAAAATCTTCGAGTATACATATAGAATTCAATATTTTGATATTGTTACTCAACGATGCGTACTTGGTGCTTAGGAGATGTTGAAATGGGTTTAGGGGTTTAAGTTAAAAGAGTATTTTTTTGCGAGATTGGGAATGTCATAATTATTGTATGCCTACAACCAGAATATACTACTTTTGTAGATCATGAACACCTTAACCAGGATTTTGTCATGAGAGACATCAATCTATAATAATATTTACGATTGTATTCATGATATGATCTTTGACATGATTTCAATTTCTACTTCATCGAAATTCTCGTTCCTTGTCCTAGAACATTGACATCCCAGTATTTGACTGGTGACATTATGATGAACGTCACGCTTTGTTTGTTTTGTTTGTTTCTTCTGTTTCTTTTCCTGTTGACTCTGGGTTAATCGTTTTACCTGCGTGTTGACATACATTCCATTGCTAGTATTAGTTTACTTGAAAAACCTACTCGTACAATCTAACACTGTCAGTGAATCGCTTCGTTTGTCCAACTTTCTGTCAATGTTACACATTATTTTCGTCGGGCTTGATGGTGTTTTTCCTTTGATTTTTAGTGTCTCAACGGTTCCTGGGTTTTTTTGGTATCTACTTTAAGTAGATTATGTGCTTGTGTATTGATGAAATCGGAAAAAAAAAATTCTGCTCAATTAGTAACGTGAATAGCCATTCGTCACCGATGGTAAAAATCTAACTTCATAGGTGAGAAGAATTATGCGTTTTATTTTTTGTGCTTATAGGAATTGTGGAAATAAACTTAAAAAGTGGTCACCCAGTGTTGAATAGAAAAATATTACAAGGTCATAATGAAAATAGGCGGATTGTAAGCATGAAATACGCTTTAATGGTAGTTTTTAGGACTGTGTCTATAGTGTGATGACAATTTTAGATCTAAGACATAATACAACTTATGATTGTATTTCCTGATTGATTATATTATAAAAAAAAAATGCTTTAGTTTTATTCGCTTTAACCTTTAACTACCAAATATGTACCGACTTTATTGTTATTTTTATACTGTTTTGCGTTCAAGTTTGTATACTTTCATGTAAAACGTTATAGAAATAAATCTGTGTGATGTTTGAGTTTACTTTTTTCGTGTATGTAGTATACATACCTTGACAATTTCGACAGACTGCAACAGCCGTATAAGTCCCCCATCAAGGACAATCTCTGGTTTGACCTTGACATCAAATAGGTAGACATCACCGTCACACGTGGATACCGCTATCAGTGTTAGAGTTCCTGCGGCGAAATGATACCGTATTAGGTAGATGTATTAATAATTGATGAGTACGACCAAGGTACCTAAACTTGATTTAGTTTGGCAATATCAGTACCAGGAAAAATGTATTAGAATAAAAACTGCTGAAAAACTTAGTGGCTTTTCTGTGATCATTTTACGAGAAATGTTAGTTCCAAGACCCTCTCTTTACAGGAAGTTAAAATCTAAAAGAAATTTTATTGAGTACAATTCAAACGCGTTTTACAATATATAGATTAATATACACATTTCTGACCTTAGCTCCTCATTTATGGAATTGTGTTACTGAAAAAAAAAAAAAAAGTCCAACTTTATGATAACCTTTATATAAGTTGCATGGGAAAGCAAAAACAGGTTGACCCAAGCATTTGATATCAAAGTAATGAAGGCCATGCAATTTCATCGTGTACAGATATATACTCTTTCCCCCACTAATCTTATTATCGATTATAATGACTATTCAACGTTTCATATATCGTACCTTAAGTTACAACTTTCATCGAGACGTTCTAGAGAAATAAGCTTCGGACACTCTTCTTTTAAATCATGCTTGGAACTTTTTCCAATTTTATAACTTCTACGAAAATAAATTATCTAAACGTTTTTTCCTTCTACGTTGTCGCTGTTGACGTCACATGCCTAACTTTACTAGTCATAGTTAGATTATTTAAATACGACTTTTTATCAAACCGTTTAGAGTTTCCGTATAACTACTCGGCGGCTGTGAAAATAATAGATATGTCTTGTTAAATTCTGTTATATTTTCTATTAGCGGGTACTCGAGACAAGCCGGACAGATTGTAGAAGGTAGACCCTGGCATATACTCTGATACAAATATATTTAATTACAGTTGGCATTTAAAATATTATGTAACTGATAGCAGTCCTTTAAATATAACTGCTTTGTTAACAAAAACCTTTTAGTCTGTCTGACTTCGACAATATACTTGCTTATTCATTTTGCTCTGAAATGAAAGGAGTGTAATTGATTTTTAAAATTCTATAATAAAATATATTTCACATGTAGTTTACACGCCATTACCTATATTTCACTTTACATAATAATGTGTAATTCTGAGCGGGGAATTTTATCGCCAGAGACGTACAAAATACAATATGTTCTACAATAATATATGTCTGATTTTGCCTACCTTTCTTCCCGACATTGATTCCCTTGCAGGCTAATCCTACCACCGGTACCTCCAGACACAGTAGTTTGTTGACGGTCTTCTCGGAGGCAGAGACGGAGTTCACGTAATGGAGGTTTGGTGGCATCCTGCCCCTCTGGTGTAAGATTTGGTGGTTTATCCCAGTTATCTGTATCCTTTAGTCGATGTTTGGTGATATTCTACCTTAACTCTGGTATCCAATCTGCTCACATATACCTGTGACTTAAACCCATAACAATAAGTATGAGAAAACACACAAAGTTCCTGACCTGGACAGGTCTATTTGTTACAGGTGTGTTAGGAATATTGTACCCGGGTACATCCTACATCAATAATGCACAACAGATCATCGTAAATCGATCGCAGACTAACACAAAAGATCAACCTTGGACGGTGATTACCGATTTTTACGGGAAACAGAACTAATTCTCATGTCATGTTGCCCCTCCAAATGATCAATGATACCTGTACAACTGGGGAGGAAATTGATATTTCTTGTTAATAGGCCATTCAGTGATTGGTTTGTTGGTTGTAGTGTTACATTTATAGCAGTATTGGGCAAAACACGTGTAAAGTATTTGGTGTTACCATACCCAGGTAAATCGAAAAATGTAAATGACCACTTGTATTTGTATTATGTATAAACTTCTTCATTGTCTTTAAAAAATAAAATAAAAACAATGAAAAAGAAGCCGATTGTAGTATAATAGAACAAATATTGCAAGACTACAATAGACACCAAAACATAAGGAAAACATTATAAACTCACAGAAAGTGAAATCTCAGTTTGAAATCAGTTCGTGATGTGGACTATACAAAATCGTCTATTCCTTTGGTAGAATACTAAGACTGAGTAGCGTATTGTTTAAATGAATGAAATTCATACAGGAAAATCCTGATACTTAGTATACGCTCTTAATAAGCCATTCGACTGTGACCTTTGAACTCATTAAGCAAAGGGACCCTGTATGTTACTTCTGAGGAAAGGACAGTCAATAAATCTAACTTGTTATTTAGGGTCAGTAAAGCACCAATGGACGTGTGTCAGTCTATTTACTTAGGGGATAGTAGATTATAACCTGACTGGCACTAATAGGCTAGTTGTGTGATAAAACAAAACAAACATTTCCCCCTGAAATGTCCAGTCTACTAAATTTTAAGATTGATTCCATTATGCTGGTAATTAATCGATTATTCCATGTTACAAGTATAGACAGATTGTAGACATTCATCATTGTAAAATATCAAATTAACAATATCAATTTAATATACGACTGTATCGATATATTTTATGTATTACATTCATCTCTTGAGTCAAAAAGGAAAAGGACATATCACGATTCGATAAGACAACAAAAGCTGGGAAACACCAAACGGGAAGACAACCCATCATGGAATATCAAACATATCATCCAGCTCTGCCGGAGGAGGAAGACGGGCTTGTTTACTAAGCTAAGTATCCATCGATAAGGCATGACCTATGAATCATGAGTCCCAGAGTCCATATACGTCGTCATACCAAAGAGGAAAGTGCATTGTGTCTATCTTTAAGTATGGTGCTGTAGCTGGACATCAATGAATTAAAAATAAATTATCTTTCATTTTTCCACTTTTTTTTTATTGTATTCGTATTCTATATTCATATACTTTATATTGTATTGGTATTTTATATTTAAATATTTTACATTGTATTTGTATTTTATATTTATACACTTTATATTGAATTCGTATTTTATATTTAAATATTTTATGCTGTATTCATATTTTATATCCATACACTTTATATTGTATTCTTATTTTATATCCATGTACTTTATATTGTATTTTTTTTTTTTATATTTATGAACTTTATATTGTATTCGTGTTATATATTCATTTACTTTAAATCGTATTCGTATTTTATATTCATATACTTCATGTTGTATTCGTATTTTATATTTATATAGTTCTATTTAATGTTGGCAACACGATGAACAAACTTCGAATTTGATAATAAAAAATACTCTATCAAAGTTCGACAGATTCGAATGATTCACAAAGTAAACAGTAGTCATGTGTACATAACATTTATCATCAAGTTTGTTAACGTGTCTTGTCTGAACCACGTACTTACCTGATCAATAGACAATCCGTAGAATCCCAGATAGAACCATGTTAATATTGATTAATATTGTAACTCTATCTACGGTGCAGTGTATAGTTTTAAATCACTGTCTATGCTAAGATTTATAGTTGCATGTTGAAAGTTATATTGGTTAGTATAAGATTTAATTTTTGATATTTTCTTGTATAAGTTAACCTCTTTCTGAATTTTAAATTAGGATTTTAATGCGTTGATAACTTACCATGGTAAATTGCTTTATGTTGTAATATACCACAGTAAACTGACGTATGTTGTAACATACCACGGTAAACTGCTTTATGATGTAATATACCACGGTAAACTGACGTATGTTGTAACATACCAAGGTAAACTGTGCTATGATGCAACATGACACGGTAAACTGCATTATGTTGTAACATTTCACGGTTAACTTTTCCCTTATGTTGTAACATACCAAGGTAAACTGCTTGATGGTACGACATACCAAAGAAAACTGCCGTGTGTTGCAACATACCATGGTAAACTGCCTTGTGTTGATAACATACAACGGTAAACTGCCTTATGTTGTAACATACCACGGTAAACTGCCTTGTGTTGTAACATACCACGGTAAACTGCTTTATGTTGTAACATACCACGGTAAACTGCCTTGTTTTGATAACATACAACAGTAAACTGCCTTGTGTTGATAACATACCACGGTAAACTGCCTTGTGTTGATAACATACAACGGTAAACTGCCTTGTGTTGATAACATACCACGGTAAACCGCCTTGTGTTGATAACATACCACGGTAAACTGCCTTATGTTGTAACATACCATGATAAACAGCCTAATGCTGTACAATGCAACGATAAACTGCCTTATGTTGATAACATACCACGGTAAACTGCCTTGTGTTGATAACATACCACGGTCAACAGCATAATACTGTACAATACCATGGTAAATTGCCTTGTGTTGATAACATACAACGGTAAACTGCCTTGTGTTGATAACATACCACGGTAAACTGCTTTGTGTTGATAACATACAACGGTAAACTGCCTTGTTTTGTAACATACCCCGGTAAACTGCCTTGTGCTGATAACATACCACGGTAAACCGCCTTGTGTTGATAACATACCATGGTAAACTGCCTTATGTTGTAACATCCCATGATAAACAGCCTAATGCTGTACAATGCAACGATAAACTGCCTTATGGTGATAACATTCCACGGTAAACTGCCTTTTGTTGTAACATACCACGGTAAACTGCCTTGTGTTGATAACATACCACGGTAAACAGCATAATACTGTACAATACCATGGTAAATTGCCCTATGTTGTAATATACCACGGTAAACGGCATTATGGTGTAATATACCACGATAAACTGCAATGTATTGGTAACTATCTCACCTGCTCATGTGTCATGTATTGTAGTAATCATCATAACTGGGTGGGGTTTTTTAAATATCGTAGACATATGTTAAGGATAGTTGTCATTTAGAAGTCACTTCCCGTTTAGCTGTTGTCCCTGTCATGTTAACATTTTCATTTATAATCAATATCCACGAGACATAAAACAAAACTAACATTTACATTATAATCTTAGGTATAGATCTATGTGTATAGCTATTGTTTGTAACTAAACGGCGTACAGATGTATATATTGTGGCTTATCGGCGGATTTACCTCTCCTGACCCGACCCTGGATAATCACATTGTCGACCATATACTACGTGTTTTGTCACTTGTACAGTCTATTCAAATACAATATACTAGAAATACATGTTAAGTCAGTGCTATTGTTACAGAAATAAGACTAAATGTAAACCATTACAAGTAACGTCAAATTAAAACAGTACATCAAACCAAACCAAAGTTCTCCCGTGTATAGCGACAGTAAACACTGATGTTTGTTTAATAGACTAAATAATGTTTTATGTCCAGTATTAATATATCTGTTCTATATGAATATCGATAATCCGTTTGTGCTGTATAGCATGTGTACTTGATCAATTATTAAAAGAACGACACATATAAAACACCTGAATGGCAGAAATATGTAAATCACAGACTTACCTTCCGACAGGTAGATACTAAATGAAATTCGTCTTCGGTGTTAAACTGGCGATATATTCTGGGACGAGCTTGTTGTACCAAACAGATTTCACTGTTCAATTAAGTGTCCTACTTGGTTGATAAGAGAAACGTCCCTGTATTATATACACAGTCAAATGAGAAAACGACAATTTTCGTTTTCAATAAAAGCCATTTAACACTTTGTATGTGACCATATTTAACTTACATTCAAATTGACATAAAACCTTACGGTATAAAATTTACGCTTGATCGATCACAAAAAATGACCCGATCGTCGGCGGCTTTCACCTACCTTCTGATTACCGATATGTCTACATACTGTCATGTACTCGCTTCCATTCTTATAATGTACGTACTTCGTCATAGGACAAGTATGGTCAGCTTAACGCGGAATGCAAGCATTGCAGTCAAAGATCGTTAACACATTTTTCTGTATGAAACTGTGATATTCTCCAGTCTGATGTATGCACGAGAACGATTGAAGGCAAAACACTGTAGTATTTCCGGAAAACGTCTTCTTTTGACTAGTTGACTAGCTTTAGTATCGCTATGAGTGTTCTGTTGGTGTATTATGTCAAACATGTCGGCGTCAGTCAAGCAACGCATACAATGTCTTAATTATTCCTATGGAACCTTGTACTTTAAATCAGTCATAACTTAACCACATACTAATACCTTTATTCGATATAATGACTTTATTAACATCTTTAAATTGTGAGATACATACATAATCATAAATTCATTATTTCCTTTTCTGTAAATGTGTGACATGGGCATTATCTAGCGATAATAGTATTTTTAACTGCTTTATAAAACCCGATGATTTTCAATTAAAAACGAAATAAAATTTGTTTAAAAAATGCAAACACAGATATTAATAGCATTTTTTAAATAAAGTAAGCTTATATTAATATTTGTCATAGAAAGCAAAGGTGTATTAATAAAAAAAAAAAAAAAAAAATTTCATTAGTCGATATGCAAACCACGCTAACACGATTCAACACATGTTGTCTCAATGGTTAATAGCAGCAGTTATTATCATTTCAAAGACGTGATATTGCCAAAAATGTATTGCAACCTGCATGAATTTACTGGATAACAGACTTGATCCACTCCAGATAAGATGTGACACGAGTGTAGATATTGGGGTAACCGTAATGCTGACAGGAAAATGATCCCCATGACGTCACACCAACCAGAATATAATGGTCATCCCGGAGACAGACAAGAGGTCCACCGGAATCCCCCTGTAAATAATGAAATGAAAGTCGTGTCTTTTTTCAATACTAACAACACGTATTTACAATTATTGTCCTATGATATGACATGAAGTCACTAATTTAATCTAACATACACAGCAAACTGAATTAAGTCCGTTCTGAAAATGTAAATTACCAATGTTCCTTCACTGGAATATTGTGTCGCCAACTAAATATAAGAATAAAGAGATTTTTTTTTTGTGTTTTAAAAACTATTCATCAAATTTGAATTTGTTCACCATATTTGTATTATTTTGCAGTTTATACCAACATTTGATGGATTTGAGACTTTCTTGCTGTACAGAGATATTTCTATTTCAGCATTATTTAATGACAAAAACATTATATGTTTACATTTATTGATAGGAAGTAATATAATGTATGCATATGTACGTAAAAAGAGACTGAACATTAGGTTAAGTCTATTTGAGTCATTTCTAGACTGGCCCGGCGACCGTCTCTAGAATATTGAATCATTTAGAAAAAAATGAACTCTAATAATTTTGATCACTTCGATGTCTGATTCCTAAGTTCTCAGACTAGGGGGTGATCAGCTTGTAGTAAAAAGCAGCCGGGAAAGTCTTCATTAAAACTTAGGGGCTGGTAGCCAGTCTAAGTCATTTCAAGCAGTGAAAAATATCATATGCCTTACTCCGCATGCGCCAACATCTCCATGCCCCACACAGACGTGTCCGTTGTTAATGACGCCATTCCAGCTGTCGTTACAGGCAGATGACGGTGTGATGGGTACGGAAATGTGTTGTAGGTATTTCTCGTCCGCAGTCCCTGTAACACATGAAAATTACATGAGACTGTATTCTAATTCCACTCTATCAATCATACTAAGGAAAGATCTACTCTAAAATAATTTTGATATAGCTCCGTCCCATCAATTCTTTTGAAAGGAGATAATCAGTTATTTCGGACTGCATCAATCATAGGCTCGATAAGATACAAACAACATCAATACCAAACGCCAAAAAGAAATAACATATTTTTCATTATTTTTTAGTTGACAGATTTCACGCCGCAATATGCTGGTAAAGTTCTTTAATATACTTTATACATTACTAAAAAAAAAAAAAAAAAAACAGCGAAAAAATGAAATAATGGTTCTATCTACACAATAGTTGTGATATACAAGATATAGTTATAACAATTATGTTATTCTTCTCTCCAAAGTAATTTTCCTTGACATCCCATTTTCAGAGTTGGTTCTACAGAACTGCTCCGGCCGTCGATAACAAAAGGTAAGTTGTATTACATGTATTTTGTTTCATTACCCATGGAGTTGCCCCAGCCGCTGATGACACAGTGGTCAGTTTCGTCAAACACATCCATGGACCCCGGTAAACATGCTGTCCGAACGTAATTTCCGGTTATGTCTACCGCCCTATCCAGTTTGACCAGGGCGATGTCGTTTGGTGTCCCTCTTTGGGAGGGTGCGTAGGTTGGGTGCTTGGCAAATGAAACGAGAAACAATGTATAGGAAAAAATAAAGTACTATCAATGTTTTAATCCATTTCAAATTGATGATTAATAAAAGTAAAAATTCCAGTTTTTTAAGCAGCGTCATCAAAATATTTCGTCTCATCATGAATTGAACATAGCTAAATCAAATGCTGACAGTATGGTGTATGACAATAAAACAAGAGAATATCGAAATGTCAACAAAACCGTAATCCCACTCGATAAAACTAAGGCAAAATATTAACAAAGGATTATTTTTTTTGGGGATATTCTTAAAAATACGTTTCCGTTGTATTGTCACTCGTACAAGGGTCGTGCGATTTGCTCTGTTGAAAAAAAGGTGATGGTATTTACTGTTAGCATCAAAAAAAGTACAGTCAATATTTTATAAACATAATGGATCACATTTTGTTTAAAGCTGTTCTATCAAATGTAACCTTTGCGTAAGCTGCCTATGCCAGCTCCATACGAAATGCAAAACTGCTTATCTGACACTGGAAGAATAATTATAAGGCTATAAGCACTTGATAATTTGCCATAAGGAAACTATTGCCGAAAATTATTTAAACGGGGAATGTAAGCCTTCACCTTTTTCAATTTTCTCGCCCTTCATCAAAAGGTCGAAGATTTTTTAATGACCTGCCAAAGTATTGTAAATACAACACTGTACATGTACAGAATTTTACATATTTGTAACGATGTATGTAACTCATCGACATATCTTGTTTAACATTGTAGTTTATCTTACAGTGTATATTTAACAGTGTTTCTAATAAAACGATGTATCATTATGTGATCGATAAAATAATGATACATTATAATTAAACAATGTAACATGCCATAAAATACATAAAATGAGTGTTCTACTGAATTATGAGTAATTATCACAATAATACTTACAACTACCCACTCAGAAGTTGTCAATTTATTTTCGTTTCCAGTAACGTTATCAAGATGGTGTTCCCCTAGGTATATCGTCACATCTGTCGGAGTGTGTCTGAGATAAGAGAAAAAGACATGTCATGCATTAAAGTGAATGTCGCTGGTGTTCGATGGAGGAGGTACGTTAGGTTATACCTTACAGAGTCAGTTTATACCGTGTTTTATACTGTTCATATTATGCTTTATTCTGCTCATATCATGTTTAGTGCTCTTTTACTGAGTTTTACAGTATTTAACAGTGTTAAGAATATTTTGATATCCTGTAATTACCTCTGGAGACAGTGAGCAGCCGTGACAACCCACTGGTCATTGATTAGACTTCCTCCACAGAAGTGACCAGTGACGTCATGGAATGACACTTGCCATGGCCACTCGCCTTCCAAGGCTGACTGACCGCCTACTATCCGCAGTCGAGGGTTGACAGTGGACGGGTAAATTGTTATCTTACCACATTGGAAAGTCCCTTTAACAACAATAGGAATAAGTGACATGTCAATGATAACCTGGCTAAAAAAAATCAATAAAATAATATAAAAACAACAACAACAAAAGAATACCTAAGTGTCAACAAAACCAAAATTCGAATTCAAAATTGATAAAACTATGGCTAAAATATGAACAATGGAAAGTTTTACACGGAGATCGATTACATCTTTGGAAACCATGTGTGTAAGTTTGTCCGTCAGCAGTCGACATCTATCTCGGAAATCATGATACTCGGAGCAAGCGTACCGAATCAACTGCGACATGTAAACACCGTAGGAAGAGGAACCAGGGATATTACCATCAAGAAAGGGAAAGTTAACGGTCGGAAAGTCGAAATCGTCCCAGTTATCAAACAGCTTAGTAATGAGTTGTTCCTGTTGTTAATAATCAGACACGACAAAAGCCCTGTTTGACCCACAATTAACCTTGCCATTATAAGATGGTACAGGGTTCTTGAATGACCCCGGTGTTTACCAAAACCTAAATTAGCTGTAAAAATGTCATAAAAACTAGTTGTTTACAAAAATAGGATATTCATTTATTTACTTTGATAATTATTGTATCATGGGTTGAATCTTTAACGTTACATGCTCATACAACCCACAGATGACGTTTGCATGCATCGGTTATGAATGTATAAAAACCTGAGATACAAAAGAAAAAGACAACACTACGCTTTAATTTCTTCGGATAACACATCTCCAACAAGCCTTATAAAAATATTAATATTGTTTAGCAAATATATATTTAATCGAGATTTCAAGCTCAATATGAGAAAACGACAATAGGAGCTGGGAAAACACTTTTTTTTAAAGGAATAATTCACTCCACAGCAGACCTGACAACCTATTGCTCACCTGGATGAGGTATGTCCACCTGTCCTTCAGGTTCTACACTACCTGTGTGTTCCTCTACAACAGATTCCTGAGGCTGGTGGTCCGCTTGTCCAGAGGGAACATCCACTGACGGTAAGTCCAATAGACAACACACCTTCCCCCTCATACAGTCTCCATAACCATCGGCTACCCGTCCTTCACATTTTGTGGCTCGTGTGCACTGACCCCCGGACGCTTCACATGACTCCAAACGATGAGCGAACTTTAAGCCTTGATGGAAACAATTCAGTTTTTTATTTGTTAGTAATGTTTTAATCTAGATATCTGATTTCTTTGACAAGGCGTTTTAATTAATTGATTTTTAAATTGATGAACTATTTTTAAAGCTTCAAAACCTTATTCAGAAAATCGGTTTTATTTCTTGGCGAATAAATCATACTTTTATCAACTTATAAAGGAATGAAACATGTTTTCCTAAAACTATTGTTTATACCGTTTGCTCGATATTTTGCGTTTTAAGTTATGATGAATTGAAAATCGTGTTTACCTGAGCAGTGTCCGACACACACGAGAACTACACACACAGACAGAAGTGTCGCCTTCATTGTCATCCGCTACACTGTTTGACCGAAGCTTTTGTCTTTGCTTTATATATAGAAAGGTGGACTGGAAAATTCCTCAATATTCATTTGTATCGAGCTCCCTCAACTTAACAACATTCAGATGTTTAATTTCAACCTAGAATAAGCTCGCCATGATTGATATTCATATATCAACACACAGGCTCTTTTGTTAGAAATAAGCTCGATCAGACTAAAATAAACATGAATGAATACATATTTTTTGTAAAATTTCCAAACGAAAATCAGTATTTGAAATGTTGACAACATGACATTTAGTTTCAAAGTTTGTTACAATTGAGTGCAGGTATTTATTGTCGTCGTTCGTAAAGATCGCCTCTACTTGACCTGCGATATCAGATATATACTGTAGCGGTATTTATGGCTGTGGTCATTATAACAACATCAGTCGGAAACCTCGAGTACCATTGGCCGAAATTTATTGGTACATGCTCAGGGACACGGTATATATATAACCTTGTTATAAAATAAAGAAATGTTTCGACGGAACAGTTTATAAAATAATCATTTAAATTTCCACTTTTTGATTTCTAAAATCATCTGTAGAGTATTGTTAGTCTAAAAATAGTTAACACACCGCCGTGGTTATTTTACATTATACATATTTATCGAAGCCATGTCTGAAAAATCTACAATTTGTTTCATGAATGTTAAAGAAACCCTGATTAAAGTCCAAATTGATAGCTTTTGAACTATTTTAAAAAACGGATACACGATTCTGAGATGCCCGACGAAGTACTGTAATAATGCAAACTGAGGTTTTTGAGATTGAAACAACGATGTTTTTTCTCTGTCCGTATGACTATCCGCTCTCTTACAAAAATGTCAAAATGTGGTGGTTTTAACGTTAAAGAAAATGTGTGTATATGTGTGTGTTGGGGGAGGGACCCTTTATAAGTATCTTCCAATCCCCTAGATCACCCCCCCCCCCCCCCCCCCCNGCTAAAGCAGAACCATGTTCTGCAGGAGGATAAGGGTTTCCATCAAGGGTTTCCATCCATTTGTCACCAGCAAACCAATGGTCCAACATTCTATTATATATGATTCAATCTGTGCAGTGTTATGTCGCTGTATTTCCTAGCTTTTCTGCTGTCCGAGATTCGCATAATTCTAAAACACTTATATAGAGTAGTCATCCATCCGATTACGTTAATAATAAATTAAAGCATTTTATCACTAAATATAATTCTGGTGAAAATAGAGAAAAGAAACAAACTATCTTACAAAGTTATATTAAATGACAGCGAAATATGTGTAAACTACTTTTTCTGCATTAGGAATGATTTTTCACGAAATATTTTATTGTAAAAGTGATCTCCCTTTACACCTTGATTGTACTACAATCGAGCCCCATATTCTCCGATTGTTGTTCCGCGATAAGCTGACCTTTAAATAACACGTATTGAAAGAAATGTAATTAATTACTACCCATTAGCTCCATCTGACGTCGTCAGTGCTAATCGTGTAATTAAATTGCACCGATAATCAAGTTACATCATTGTATTTCCGTACGTGCTGGTCCGTACAGTCACATCTGCTTTTATAACCTATCATTCGCATTATTTGCACACTTTATTCCGGATATGTAATCACCAGCTTTGTGTGGCTATTAGAATCGCTTCACGATTTTTTTATATTATGTATTAATTGAATTTTACACGTACTCGATATAATGACTCTGGTGTTATACATTTTTTTTATTCCTATTGCTGTATTCTGCAGTGTTCACAGATAGCAAGATATAAAACCGATATAGCAATATCATAAAACAGGCTTAAATTAACGCATGTAAAACATAGCTATTAATTAATATCAACCAGTATTGTTAAGAATACATTATGCAGAGAATGAACAAACATTTATTTTAAAATGCAATCAACAGCTTTTAGCAAACGAAATATTCTCAAGTTAATCGGAATAAATTTGATGATTACTCATTATATTTTGTTTGTTTACATTAAGTTAAGTGCAATTCTAGTTGTGATTTATTTTCAGGTTTCAAATTAGGTGATGATTCATAATCTACATACTACGTATCAAAAATATCAAACATGGCAAGACTCCTATGTTTAAGTACTTGCCCTTTCTCCAAAGCTCCTTTCATTGTTAGTATCCCCCAATCGCTTAGTGTTGCTGGTCATGCTGCAATCTTTGCATTTCCATTTCATTTTATGTTGGTAAATTGGTTTTATGTTTTTCTTTTTCAATCGCTTGGTTTCGCCGGCTTTGTTGTAATATTTACATCTTCATTTTAACTTGTGAGGGTAGCTAAGTTTAGTGTTTTTTTCAATAGCTTGTTTTCGCCGACCCTGTTGTAATATTTGCATTTTCATTTTAACTTATAAGGGTTTTTTATTTTTTTATTTTTTTTATAGCTTGTTTTTGCTGGCCCTGTTTTGCATTTTCATTATATCTAATGTAAATGGGTAACTTGGCATGGCGTTTCTTTTCTTATAACCAACACGTGACCATTGATAACATACGTATTTTTTTTATTGGTTTCGTTTAAATTTGTGTTTATCAGTTTATCTGTCTGTATTGATACCAATGGGGCTATAACGGAGCACATTGGTAGCTAAAAAAATGAATTATTTTCATACACAATTGCTTTAAAATATGTGAAGTCTTCATGTATTCATTGTAAAATGCTGGTTGATGTATAATATATGCAAATTTCGTGAACAACAAAATCCAAACTTTAAAGTTTCGATACAAATAAAATGACAACAGGAACTAGGGCGATATCAAATATGGGTTGAGGCAGACTAGGTGCTCTGGTAAGGTTAAAGTTTTCCACTTTTTAGATATTGAATATTGTACGCCGAATTTTGTTCGCCCAGTCAAACTTTAGCCTTTCGCCCATGAAATAAATGTCGTCCAGTGTTAATTTCGCACCTCACAATATGTATTCGCTCTTATGATAAATTCGCCCTCACCACGGAGGACGAAAAGTCTGTTACTGTGGTAGCCACTAAAAGGTAGACGATGGCATTAGTATAAGTATGGTCATAATGATAAATGTTAATTGCATCGAACAGAGTAAAGACTTTCTGGTGAAAACAATCTGCCTGATCAATTTATGTGTTATGACATCCTCACTCATAAAAAGCTTGATGTCTTAAAATTTATTTTTCCGCTGTTGGGAAATATTTTCAAATCTACAAAATTATTTACAATGAGTCTATTGGAATGAAGGCAAAGAGCAATTTAACAGCAAATTATGTGTTTGTTCCCAAATACATATTTGATTTTATAAAAAAAAAAAGTGCTTAAGACGTACTTCAGATGAAGTGATCAGACACGCTATTAATGTACTGTCATTTATAACATTGTACCCTGAAAATAGTATGTTTCTGCACCATGATATATAAAGGTTACCTTCAGCACTTGTGATAGTGCTATTTTACTTAAATGATGTTATTTCATATGTGTGCTCATCCTCGAAATTACAGGTGCTGCGCTCACTTACATTATCTTCACCACTGGACTATATGTAATGACAAAATCGAAGGCTCGTACTTGCGTATTTAATTGGTTTTAGGTGAGAAAAAAAAACCTGACCTATTGCCAGGCTGATACCTAGCCTTTGAAGATTTCAGAGGAGCAACATCGGACTACAAAGCCTGTCAATTTTGCCGTTACGGTCCCGCGGAATTCGTTTAATGTACGAGTCTATTTGTATCATTAATGGTTACAGAGAACGTAAGTGAACGTGACTCCTGGACTGTCGACGATGATATGCGCTATATTGTTATATGGCGTTATAATGTGTTTACGTATATATCTTTTAAACCAGACAATAGAAACTGCCTCAATCCACCTATTGTATGTGCTGTAAGGTGATATTTCTTAAATGTAATCTTATTGTCTATCCTGTTTGTACCTGACGTTTGTTTATATTTAAAATATATTCTGAAAATAATATGACTGATATAGCGTTTTACTATAGTGCATTATCCCGTTCCGTGGTCACGCTATGCCTTAGGTTGCTAGGCGCTAGCCTAACCACCTGTCGTCTGTTGCTGCTATAAGAGATGTTACATTAAGTGTGCTATTAATAATTAACCTGTTGTAAATTGTTTGTCATAATTTATTCGGTAACAATACAAATTGCTAGTGTCTGGTATATTTTGTTTTATATTCTGTTGGATGTATTGCACATTATTTGCATGTGTATGTTGTCTCGTAATCGTTCAACTGTGTTTGTGTAAAGAATGTGTTGACAAGAACCATATCATAGATTAAATGAATGATTTCATTTACTGCTCTGTGGGAATAAGATATAATTGTTATCATTACTATTGGCTTGGGTTTATTTATTAATTGGCATTTATTATTCTGACGATTTTATCATGATGTTTCATGAAATTTTGAAAAGTTGGGACTATTTGTGTATATCTTAAGAATTGTATATAGATACCTTTATTGCTTAATGAATTTCAATTGATTAAACTAACAGGTTACATAGAAACATACTGCGAAGAAAGAGAGTTTTGACTTGTGATCTCAACGATCAAAAGTCCTTGTTTTGTAAGAGCAATTAAAACCAGGTTTTAATAATTTTGTGGAGTTTCTTATTTCGTTCGATATATAGGAATTACATGGAATGTATCATTTGCAACTTTGCTATTTTGACTATTCCTAACATTTATGATTGTGTACAAACATACATTTTGTATTCTCCACCGTGCACCATTGCACATGTTTAAATAGACCATCATCGATGTTTAAAAATGAATGTATGACAGATTCACTCTTGTGGCAATTGTTGTATTTTATTATACATTACTATTGCAGTTATTTTACATTATTTACTATTGGTACAATATTAAGTGTTGTAACAATTGGTAACCACGATTGTGACAATTGTTTCGTATATTTACAGTATTTAATATTGAGGAATTGTTTGCAACGTTATCAATTGTAACAATGATATCAGATAAGATTATTTCAGATGACAGTATTT